TCGAATAGTTCGACGAAAAACCCCGAGGCAAGATCCCGATACTCTCTTGATTTGTCATTCAATTCATAGACCGCTGTGAATTAATTAGTTGCTTGCAAGATCCCTATTCTTGCTCAGTATAATTTTAGATTGATCACAGATCAATTATACATAAGAACTCGTTATCCGAATAATTACTCGTTACAAATATAGAACTGTCGTGAACATATTGGACTGAGAACTATAACGTATAGAACTGTTGTGAACGAAATGGACTGTGGACAATAACGTATGACCATTCACGTTATAATACATATACTATGATGACCTGCACGGATTTATTTGACGAATGATATTAAAAATAATATTGTGATAATAGATACTGTAAAGATAAAATAAAATAAAATTATTTTAGATTAATTTATAATTTTAAAGAATTTATTAACAAAATAATCAATTTAAAATAATTATTATTTTGGTGAAAAATCATTTTAGAGTGATTATAATAAATTAATAAAATTTATTTGACAAAAGAATTATTTTAGAATAATTATAAATAATTTAAAAGAATTTATTTTAGAATAAGTATCAATTTAGAATAAATTCAATAATTTAATAAAGTTTTATAAAAGGAATTATTTTAAAATATTTATAAATATTTTTTAAAGGATTTATTTTAGAGAATGGATTATTATGAATTATTCATGATTTATGTTCTTAATTTTAATTATGTGATATGCTATGATATTGTTGAATATGATTAGTTACAGTTATTACTCATTACTCTTTGTTATGCTTGAGAACCGTTAGAAATTCATGACTAGTGTGGCCTGGTGTGTCCTGTTTAAGACTTAGAAACCTGTGTGTATGATAACTTAGAAAAACAAGAGAGTTGGGATGGGAAAATTAATGTTCATGTGGTCGGATAAGACTGTTGATGTATCTTCCAGACTCGCTCTCGTGGTTGGTGTCGCCACCTGGGTTGGTTTGTAGGGCTAAAGTGAAGTGTGTACATCACTTTGGTCAGTGGGAATTTATTTCGTCACCCGAGTTCTGTTTGAAGTTCGGACCAGGCAGAAACGGATTGCGTGCAGTCCTCTAGGCCGCATGTGTAGCGGGATTGGATGCACATAGAGGATTTGTGAACAGTCAGTTATCCGATAACAGGAGCGTTGACTCTGTGTGAGATGTGACAGTGACCTGTTATACAATGGCTAGTAGTATGACCTCGTTACTTGGATGATTAGTCTGATCGCTAGCTATATGACCTCGTTACCCGATCGATTTTGGATTCTTCTGATTATTATATTCTAGTGGTAGATTTCATTTAGATTATTATTATTATTATTATTATTATTATTGTTTCTGCATTGGTCGTTCGACCATTTCTACTTTCCTTGTGGGATCTTGCCGTGTGCCATGCACCCTGACGTACACCTAGGGCTGGCAATGGTACACAATTCCATTCCAACCAATTCATGTACCAACCGTACCAAATATGTTGATATACCATCAAATTGGTACATGGTACACGGTACAGTATACCGTACCAACTTCAAAATATGGTACGGTAGGTGGTACACATTTTCCTCTACCATGGTATACCGTACCTACCAACTTATATTATATTAAATTATTTAATATATAAATTATATATATATCCTTAAATCTCAACCATAGATTTAGGGAAGATAAATCTCAACCGTACCTACCAAATACGTTGTCTAACTCTTCTATTTCACATTCATTTTATGACACAATTGGTGGCTTGCAAATGAACATTAACTAGCATACATGCAGTTTTCGTTTGATTAATTAGGTTCAAGTTATTTTGCTGCTTTATATGGTTTTTTCCCTAATCATCTAATATGATTTCTCACTTCAATATAATGTACAGTGTCATGGAACTAGTTGATGCTGGTGTCCCCTTACCTACCTTAGCACCGATCAAACAGACTATAACTCAAGTTGAAGGCGTGAAGGTATATCTTAACTCCTATCAAGAACTTGGTTGCCCATTGTCTCTTAAAATCATACCTCTATTACATGCATTACTAGTTTTTGTTACCTTTTTGATAATATGATATTGCCTGTAATTCCTTTTTGCTTAAGCAAATTATTGTCGAATCAATGACTGGTTAGTTTCTTTGAGACTTAATTATATGTGTTTCTATAATGATGGTGTATTGCAATACTGCTAATGACTGGTTAGTGGTTGCCTATGGTTATTAGCAATCCCAGAGCTCATCATACATCACACATTACCAACCGTGGCAGGAAACCAGAAAAGCTGTTGGAAGCGCTAGAAAAGGCGAGGAGCGAACTCGTTGAAGCAGTGAATCGAAAGACAGCAACATGAAAATATAATTGTAAGAAACTTGGTATAAGCTTATATATGTATGAAAGATCTTAGAGCTTCTACAGACTGACTAGCAAAAGATATACTTGGTAGAAACCCAATACCAACCGTACCAACCGAGTACCAACCGTACCAAGTAGTTGGTATACCAACGTTATTGGTTGGTAGAAATGGTGAATTTTTCCTACCAATTATATATTGGTTGGTACTTGGTACTAGGAAAATATAATTGGTATACCTACCAATCCAGCCCTACGTACACCTGTTTTCTCTGATGTACGTCAGATTTAGAGGACGGACAGGTCCAGTATTATGATGCATTAGAGCAGGAGTATGCCCAGCCGGAGTGTCTTCCAGGTGGAACAGAAGAACAGACGGAAGCTTAGCCTTTTCTTTTACGTAATCACTGATGGACACTAGATTGCTTATGTAGTACCTTATTTTTTAGTCTTTCGAGAAACTTAGTTATTTTGCAGTACTTCCTTCTTATTTTGTCGGACTATGTATTTTCTTATTTTAGTTGAACTGTTTGTAATAAGGGCATGTTTGACCCAAACTTTGTGTCTCAGATGATATTTCAGTTATGATATGTATATTTTATGTCTGTGTTGTTTATTATATTCTCGCTACTGTGATCGGGGACCTGTGCCTTCGTTTTATATTTGCTTGACGCTTAGCGTATTAGATTGAGCAGAAGGGTTCTAGTACTTATTTCTCCTCAGTCTAATACGTCGCGGGCTTGTTCACGTTCTGATTCCCTAGTATTTTGGGAAGCGGGGCGTGACATTAGGGGATCCTCAAAAGTAGCGTTAGGGTCATAAATCTCAAAGTCTTTACATGTAGCTCGTGACCCATATCTGAAAAAAACAAAATTACCAATTTTTTTGTTCAAAATATTTGAAAGAAATGAACAAAAAAAGAAAGAGTGGGACTTACAAGTTCAGAATATGAGGGATGATGGTATGAGAGAGGCCTTGTGGTTTATGAGATCTTGAGTCATCGGGATTCTTGTTGCTTTGCTCGGATTTCAATTGATCTTCCATTGAAAATTTTGATTCAATATTATTTGAGAGGAAAACATAAACAAGCGATGGAGAAATATTTATAGAGCCTTTCAGGGGGTGAGAGCAAAAAAACTTAAGCATCGAAGTTGTGTGGTGTGGCGGTGGCGATCTCGAGGGCGAGACGGAAGTCGAGGGCGAGGCGGGGAGCAGCAAAGAGCTACGGCGACGAGGTCGGACGAAGGAGAGGAGAGGAGGCGGCGGCGAACTCGAGGGGAGGCTTGGGGGCATGGGCGGAGACGACGACGAGGAGAAGGGCGAGGGCCAAGGCGACGAGCTTGAGAAAGCTTTCTTGGTTTTAGAGAGAGAGAGAGAGAGAGAGAGAGAGAGAGATGAGAGAGCGCTGAGTTTGAGAGATTGAGAAGAGCGGATAAGGTTATTTTAGAGATTTTAGCTTAGTTAACATATAATAATTGTTAAAAGGGGGCTGCAGTACAAAATGTTATATTTTAATAGGTTGAACCATATGAGAGAAAGTTGAAGGGGCTGTAGTACAGAACAGTGAATCTTGAGTTCTCCTATTTATATAGAGCAGTAGATACAAAAAAAAAAATACTAAGAGCATCTCCAACAGCTTCCCCATCTTCTTGAAATACTCAATTTTGGAGAATATATAGCTGTTTTTTGGTCCAACAAATTCCCCATCCCATTCCCCAAAATAGGGAAGGAGGAGAAAAAATAGGGAGCCTTCCCCAAATCTACAGCATTCTCCAAATTTTTGGGGAGAGCTTTATTATTGTAATAAATGCGATTTTTAAAAATAGGGAAGCTGTTGGAGTTGGAGCAAAAATAATTTGGAGAATATGACTTTTGTTTCTCTATTTTGAAGAAAATTTTGGGGAAGCTGTTGGAGATGCTCTAATTCCGCAACTCGACCCGGACACCTTGGGCGACATAAGTTCAGGAATGAGCCCAGTTTCCTACACGTGCAATGCACGTTGTACAAAAGACAAACCGAGAAATAAATAAGGAAGAGGGGGAGGAAGAAGAAGAATAGAGAGAGAGACAGAGAGAGAGATGTCGGGAGCTCACGTGATGAAGAGGATTCCTCGAATCAAATTCCCCCAGAGGCATCCAAAGCCGCAAGGTACACTTCCTTCCTTCCTTAATCGCTCTCCATGATTTTCTTCCTCTTTTTTATATTTTTATTTATTTATTTATTATTACGAAGAGGGTTAGGGTTTCATTTGAAGAATTTAGGGTCTTCTATTTTCTAAAGTTTTGCTTTTGGAAATATTTTGTTAGGATCTTCTCCCGCTGCCGACCAAAACGTGGAGATCTCTCGTTCGGGTAAAGCTTCTTCCTGATTTTGATAATATACAAATGTTATTAAAGCATTTTCTTTGATGCTTTTACTGTATAATTTGCTGTAGTTATTTGTTACAAATGTAATGCTTTGATGTTAATAAAAAACCCACTAACCTTATGAAGCAATGAGCTATTTTTAGTCTCGATTTGGATTAAATTGTTATCAGACAGAGTTCAGATTAGACGATTTTTCAATTGCCTATGTCATTGCATGTATGCACCGATTTAGATTGGTTTTCAGTGCATACCGTCATGCTACTGGTTAAGTTCTCTCTGCCTCTAGCACATTCATGCAGACTGGTGTCCTTGACATGAAAAGACATTGTTCTAGGATCCTCGATAGATGGGAACGGACACAATTCTTCAGTTGATTTGGATATTTGAGATGGTGAATCGGTTTGATAGGATGTGAGGTTTTATAAGACCACTATGGTATCGTATCGTAAGTAATGAGGGATTAGCTCCTTTTGCTATTGTATTTCCTCTATAGTTAATTTTTTTTGTTTCTTGTATAAACCCATGTTTCAATGATAAACTTGGAGCTGCTTGCCACTTCCTAAGGGTAAGGACAGATCAATAAAATCATTCTAGGACTTGCAGTTTGATACATTTGACATATGTTACATACCCAAACTACTGCACATAATTAAGTTTCTCTAATGCACGTTAACGTTATCCTTCGGGCAGAACGGAAAAGGCTTGGCTTTAGTATTGAACCCACAGTATCTATTTCAAGAGCTTTTTCCGATTTATACATTCTGTGCGGTTACACATTTCATTTCTGTATGATGTTTGACAGCCTACTTCATGCCTTCACAGGAATTGTGAAATTATTATTAATTACACCTTTTTTGTTTTGTTTTTGTTTTTTTTTTTGGGGGTGGGGGGGGTGAGGGACTCAAGAGTATGCTTGCAACAAGAAGCTTAGTATTTCGTGGAGGCCCACCACAAAGCAGTGATACTATGTAGTTATAGAAGGTCTAGATTTGGAGATCAGTGGTGTGGAGAGTCGAGGACTGGCGGGGGGGGTTTTCGGCTCCTGTAGAATTTTGGAAGCTATGTAGGGTTGATTTTTTAATTGGTCTGATAAATGAAGGGTTACACGTACTTCATTTGAAAGAATCTAGGTCACTTTTAATATATCTTAAGTTTTTGTTTTATTCTTCATAATATTTGTAAGGATCTTCTCCTGCTGCTTGAGCAAAAATGTTGGAGAGCGTCAGCGTCGTAGGAGTGTGGTTGGAATGAGCTCACTGTCTTAGATCATTTATAAATATAGGAGTCGTCCGTGCGATTAAACGACAATTATTTTAAGTTTTAAACTGTGATAATGTTTCATCTAAGGCTACTTGTTATAAGCGAGTCGCAGTATAATTTGATGTAAAAACGCTACAAGTTTGCCAGGTGAGAAATCAGGTTGGGCGGGCGTCGCGAGTAGTGACATATGAAATTTTTAGTTTAAAGATGAGGCGGTATGGGGACACCACTAATATATATATAATATATATATTATATAATATATATATATATATATATATATCGTTATAGATTATTATATATACCTCTATATAATATATAGTACTATATAATATGCAAAGCGTTTTAAATATCCGCGTTATCTTGGAGTTTATCCGGACGGGAAGGGACAGAACAATCCTTATCGGGATAGCGAATCGGGATATATACGGGGATAAGTAGTATTTATCGGAGTGATCATACTGGGACTGGTGATACTATACATAGATATAAACGTAACACAATGCTAATCTAAAACCGCATGCTTAATGAAATATAGAACAAACCAAAGCATGAGTACAATCACTCATGTTAGAATCACTAACTAATGCGTAGACACTAGGCCGGTGGTTGACGGTGGGTGGGTTTAAATTGATACAAACCACAAGCTAAGGTGATGCCATAGCATCAAAATGGTCCAGGTGGTGATGTAGCCAAGAAAATGTTTTCGTTAGCCCCTGATAAAAGAAAAGCACTACTTATCGCCTCGGATAGAGATGCCGTAATATAACATGTGATGTGAAAAACTAGCCCAGAGGTAAATCCTCGTACAAAACAACGTTATCCGAAAGCTATACCGTCGAGCGTAAGGAAACGCAACGACTTAACCGATTATAAAACAACTTATCCTAGGTTGTCGATAGTGGAATCCAATTTCTCCCAGCGGAGACATCTTAATCCCGGATAAAACTCGGGGCCGATAGATAATCGATTATCGGCCAGATATTTCTAATAACAATGAATAATATATAATATATATAATATATATACTTATATTATAAATATATATATATATATATATTATATATATATATAGATATTATATATAATATATAACTACATAAGAAATGTAAAATAAATTTAGAGATGAAAAGACTCAAGAGTATGCTTGCAACAAGAAGCTTAGTATTTCGTGGAGGCCCACCACAAAGCAGTGATACTATGTAGTTATAGAAGGTCTAGATTTGGAGATCAGTGGTGTGGAGAGTCGAGGACTGGCGGGGGGGGTTTTCGGCTCCTGTAGAATTTTGGAAGCTATGTAGGGTTGATTTTTTAATTGGTCTGATAAATGAAGGGTTACACGTACTTCATTTGAAAGAATCTAGGTCACTTTTAATATATCTTAAGTTTTTGTTTTATTCTTCATAATATTTGTAAGGATCTTCTCCTGCTGCTTGAGCAAAAATGTTGGAGAGCGTCAGCGTCGTAGGAGTGTGGTTGGAATGAGCTCACTGTCTTAGATCATTTATAAATATAGGAGTCGTCCGTGCGATTAAACGACAATTATTTTAAGTTTTAAACTGTGATAATGTTTCATCTAAGGCTACTTGTTATAAGCGAGTCGCAGTATAATTTGATGTAAAAACGCTACAAGTTTGCCAGGTGAGAAATCAGGTTGGGCGGGCGTCGCGAGTAGTGACATATGAAATTTTTAGTTTAAAGATGAGGCGGTATGGGGACACCACTAATATATATATAATATATATATTATATAATATATATATATATATATATATATCGTTATAGATTATTATATATACCTCTATATAATATATAGTACTATATAATATGCAAAGCGTTTTAAATATCCGCGTTATCTTGGAGTTTATCCGGACGGGAAGGGACAGAACAATCCTTATCGGGATAGCGAATCGGGATATATACGGGGATAAGTAGTATTTATCGGAGTGATCATACTGGGACTGGTGATACTATACATAGATATAAACGTAACACAATGCTAATCTAAAACCGCATGCTTAATGAAATATAGAACAAACCAAAGCATGAGTACAATCACTCATGTTAGAATCACTAACTAATGCGTAGACACTAGGCCGGTGGTTGACGGTGGGTGGGTTTAAATTGATACAAACCACAAGCTAAGGTGATGCCATAGCATCAAAATGGTCCAGGTGGTGATGTAGCCAAGAAAATGTTTTCGTTAGCCCCTGATAAAAGAAAAGCACTACTTATCGCCTCGGATAGAGATGCCGTAATATAACATGTGATGTGAAAAACTAGCCCAGAGGTAAATCCTCGTACAAAACAACGTTATCCGAAAGCTATACCGTCGAGCGTAAGGAAACGCAACGACTTAACCGATTATAAAACAACTTATCCTAGGTTGTCGATAGTGGAATCCAATTTCTCCCAGCGGAGACATCTTAATCCCGGATAAAACTCGGGGCCGATAGATAATCGATTATCGGCCGCATATTTAATAACCAATGAATATATATATATATATATATAAATATATCATAAATTATATATATATATATATATATATATATATATATTATATATATATATAGATATTATATATAATATATAACTACATAAGAAATGTAAAATAAATTTAGAGATGAAAATCATTAGTAATTTTCAATTCATGTGCTATTAGGATTAAAATTCTGAACACATTTTAAGTTTCTTTTATTATGTTGATTATTATAAGTTAGAAACTACTTGTTTCTGAACTAGACACCCAAATTACCCTTTAAAATCATAGTTTAGAACCTGGGTATGGGCTGAAACGAACCCGACCCATGCCTAGTGAGTTTTAAGAAATGGATATGAGGTGTAGGATATATGTCCAGAAAGTATTTGACAAGTGTTTTAAATAAAACATATATCATATAATTGAGTAAGCGTCTGAATAAATGTATGCATACATCCAAGGAGTATCCATGAAGTTTGGGTACGGGTACGTGTCCAGTACATGTATGGCTTCATAATAGCAATACATGGGTAACATAGTCGTGAACTATATTTTTAATGCTCTGATGTTAATTTTGCGGGGAGAATTAAATGAAGCCAACTGTAGAAGTATAAAAAAATGAGTTTTTTTAAAACCTTATAAAGCAAAGAGTTATTTTGATTCTCAATTTGGATTAAATTGTTATCGGACAGAGTTCAGATTAGATGATTGTTCAATTGCCTATATCATTCTATTTATGCACTGATATAGATTGGTTTGCAGTGGATGCTGTGAAATTCTATCTTTCTAACATTGTCCTTCATATGAAAAGACAATGTTCTAGGATCCTATATAGAAGGGATCAAACACTGTTCTTCAGTTTGATTCGCATATTTGCATGTTTAATAGGATGCAAGTTTTATAAGACCACTACAATATCGTGAGCAAGTAATGAGGGCTTAGCACCTTTGCTCTGGCATTTTCTTTCTAGTTAAATTTTTTATGTTTCATGTATGAAACCTACATGTCAATGATAAACTTTGAGCTGCTTGCCAAATTTTTGTTTGTTTTATTGTATGCCAAATTGTTTTAAAAAGCGATCCGGGTGCCTGCTTACACAGCCTTCTAGGCATAGGCAGTACCCAGAACGCTCCATATAGGTTTGGGCTCCCCAGAATGACCACTGGGAGCACCTAAGCAAGCACATGTCATGTAATCAAGCTGCACAGTATTAAAAACAGGTTAGCGGCCCGCTTAAGTATAGTAACGGGTAAGAAAAATGGATTGGCAATCAAAACTCGAGATTCAAATCCATTTTAGATAAAAACACTGCAGGAAGGGTTTTGAATTGTCAAATTAACTCTTTCCTCCTTTGGTGCCTCCTCAGCCTTTCTCTTTGCCGCTTGAACTGTGAATCCTATGTGGCCAAAATATTTGTTCTTTAATTAATAAAGACACCAAGGCATCACTTAGATGTCCGACTAGACGTCAGGGCAATAAGCATGGTCCACTGCATACAAGCGGCCAACACTTTCTTAAATATTGGACATCATGTATGTGGTTTCAACGTGTCGTAGTTGTGGACATGCATCATAGAATGTATCAGCTGGTCACTCCAATAAGGGTATATCTTGTCTCTTGTTGTTACAAGACAGAAAAACTGTAGACAGTCTCCCATCTGTAGATCGTGATCTAAATTATATGTAAATTGTTAGAAAGAAAGTAGGAACAATAGAGGTGAAAAGTTAAGTTAGATCTCTCGATTATCCTATTTGATAAAAATTGTGAGAGGCTGAGCATGGTAGAGCCATTTGTCTTTTTTTTTTTTTTTTTTTTTTTTTTTTTTTGTCGGGGGGGGGGGGGGGGGATTTAACTGTAGAATGTACTTAGAAGGTGCCATCCTAGCAGTATGGCTGTTATATGCAGATTGTCCATGAAACTGGTAAACCAAACTATTGATAGCGGTGGCAGTCCTTGGCTTATGATTGATTTTGGGAAAAGCACATCCTTATAGGATTCTTCCAGTGATTAAAAACCATGAATTTGGGGTGATGAATGCATGCGTGTTTACCATACATACCGTGATCCCATATCTATGACCTGATACTGTAGATGTCATTATCATACATGTGATTTGGCTGGTGCATAAGAAACCGAAACAGAACAAGCTCACCTACCACCTTTGTATACTTTAATGAGTGGATTGGATCGGAGACCATAAAAAATAAAGAAACAAATAAATCTGTCATTATTCCCTCAACACCATTAGAACTTGTAAAAACACTGATGACAGAACCTTGTAAGTATCAAAGAAGTAAAGAGAACAAGAACCTAATAATACATGGACATGCTGCCTTCTTTTCTTGGTTCCATAAGAGCGGAAATAGGAAGAAACCAGCCCCATGCGTATAGATTTTTATTTTTCTTGATCAAAGATTTAGGTTGGTTAATATTATGTGCTTCCCAGATATGTGATGAAAAATCATTGTTTATGAGTAGTACCGATCTAAGGAGGAAATTAGATTAATAACGATAAGTCTCTGCTTTTAGGAGACGATATGGAAAAACTTCATTATATCTCTTCCATTATGGATAGGGGATTAGGGGCGGTATAAGAACGAATCGAATCGAACGTTGAGATGTTCATATTTGTATTTGTTCAAATTCGAACCCGAATTCAAATATCGATGTCTGCAATTTTTCGAATTCAATTTCGAATACTCGGTATTTGATAAATATGCATGAATATTCACGAATATTTATAGACCGTCTTCTGCTAAAGAATTTAAAATTTAAATAATATTAAAATTTATAAATGAATATTATTCCTTTATAGTTATGATTGTAACGCCCCTGGTTTCAACAAGGCTGCAGTCCGAGGTAAAACCAAGAATGTCAAATCTGTCATGCACTACACCGTGCAAAAACATGTTTTACCATCACAATAAGTATCTATCTAGTGCAAACAATAACGGATGTAGACACAAACAGGCAAAAGAAAATGTATGGCAGAAATATTAAACAACATATATTCTGAAAGAAATAACCACCACTGATATAAATCAAAAGAATCCCAGAAAAAGGAACAATATCTGAACTGAGTACAACTGTCTCGACATAGAACAAAGGACATGACAATAAGGCAGGAACAATATCTGAACTGAGTACAACTGTCTCGACATAGAACAAAGGACATGACAATAAGGCACATTGTCTTTACAAAACTAGAAATAACATCTCCTGTCTCGACATAGAACAAAGGACATGACAATAAGGCACATTGTCTTTACAAAACTAGAAATAACATCTCAATGTTCATAAACCAAATCGTCGTGGAGTCCTAAACATAATCTGCTAATAAAATATCTATAAGTAGTAACTAGAGCAAATCCATCAAGCTACGACTCTCCGTGCACCTGGCTCGTTACCTGAAAGTGGGAAAACAACGAGCGTCAAAGCGCTATAGCGAGTAACATCTCAACCAATCCCAAGGGAATGGCTAGTTGGATAGAAAAATACTGATAATACATATAGATAGTCATAACATCAAATCTGAAATAAAAATGATAGTTTGATATTTAGGAATTTACAACATGTGCGTGGAAGTCTCAACCATCCCATAAGCTCATATTGTAAATAGCTAACTATCAAATCCAACTATAACTTGGAGCAAAATCTTCATTTCGAACTATCTCAAAAATATCCTATCAAATGTCAGAATACTTGTTCAACTCTTGAACTTCCTCTACCATATGTTAGTTTAGGCAAAATTCATTGAATGTTCAACACATGGACTGCATGTAACCAATGTCCAACACATGGACTGTAATATGATAAGGCCCAACACATGGATTGCACATGGGGTAGGTCCAACACATGGACTATAAATAACGTAGGTCCAACACATGGGCCGCAAAGCTACATGTCCAACACATGGACTGAAATGAGCAAATGTCCCACACATGGACTATATGATCGAGGTCCAACACATGGGCCGTAATAGATAGGCGTACAACACATGGACTACAATGGATTTCAAATTAAAAACATCTATATACTATTCACTCTCATGTCTTGGTGACGCCGCGTCATGCACGGTCGCCCGCGATCGATGGTCGACCGTCGCGCCCAGCGCGGTCGATCGCGATTAAGACAGAAATTGAAATCCGATCTGTGCACGATACGTGGTCGACCGCCGCGCCACCCGCGGTCGACCGCGAAGCAGAAAAAATCCTATTTTCAGGTTTTTTGTTCTAACTGATATCGATCTCGATCTTCGTGTGGTGTTTATATGAACAAGCAACCCTATGCATGTGATTTAATATATCTGGAACATGGTATAAGCAATCTAATCACTATAGACAAAAAAAAAACGATTTAAAACATGCATATATATGACGAAACCTTCGAAAACAAATGTTTTTCTTTCAAAATTCTTGTTATACTAAACACCAGTTCAAAATCTGCACTTAGGAAAACGTGGGTGATCTGTATTAATCTGAAAACATGTTCTTTTGCAACATACAATATAAAGATCAACTTTTATACTCAAACTAGCATGTTAGGCTCAACAAAACCCGTGAAAAACATCATTTAAAAGCATTTAAAACTGGGTGCAGGGTTGGGCGAGATGAAACTCGCTTGAGGGGTGATGAACAACTATGGGTAAGGTCGTGAGGGGGTTCTCCTTCGCTAAACACCGCTGGATCTCGCTCGAACTCCTCGAAATCCTCCAAGAATCGCAAAGAACAAGCTAGGGTTTGCAAGAGGGTAGGGGGAGGCTGCTAGGGTTTTCTATGATGAAGAGGAGGCTCTCCCGAAATATTTAATATATATATAAGCTCTCAAACCCGACTCATAACCCAACACAAAGCGGACTGAGAAAAAAACAGTCTGGCCGCTGTGCGGTCGACCGCCGGCCACGCACGATCGACCGCATAGCAGAAAAAGCCAGAAATCTGCTGCGCATGAACCTATCGTGTGCTGGTCTTTTCCACTTGATTTCTCTCACATAATCATACTTATTTGATCCCAAAACACTTGTTATCATACTCCTCTATGATCTAAACATATTTTTCACCAAAACACTTGTTATCATACTCCTCTATGATCTAAACATATTTTTCACAATAAAAACTCATTTATTTAAATTATACAGGGTTTTACAATGATGTATATATATTTAATTCGAATATTTCATTAGAAAACTGATTTAAGATTATTTTTAAGTTTCTCAAATTAGTTATTAGTATATAAAACTTAAGTAGAAAATATAAATAGATTGAAAAAAATAAAATCATATGTGTAATGATACAAATTATAAGCAATCAAATTTTAACAAATATGTGATAAGCACACGAATCAAATATACCCCTAGTTAAATTCTATTCGTTAATGAACTCTAATACTAAATATTATTTGTTTAGTGTTAAATCAATGCACTACCGGATTGAATAGGATCAAATAGTCAGTTGAATTATTAACGAATTATTTGTTAATTATTTGGTTTGTTTCCACCCCTAATTATGGAGATGATATGAAAAAACTTCCAGTAGAACTTTTTGAAGCTGGTCATTTTTCTCTGGACGAGGATTGCTAGTTGAGTCAATCATCATTTGTTACTTTTATATAGATGTTACTTTTCTGGTAGCATGGGTTATTATTGCATATAGAGACACTGTTTTTACCGTAAAAAGCAGCATTCTGGAAGAATGTCATGTCATACATCAACTGTTGACATTTATATGCAAAGTAACGGCATATCATTTAATCAACTCAGATGTTTTTGGAACCATGTAAGCAACTGATTGTGATGTGCTTTGTTCTGAAAACTGAGTAATGAGAACTTGCCAGCGCAGATGATCGGTGCAAAGCTGGAAGTGTTGGTTATCACTTATCAGTTCTAATATTTGTAGTGTTTCTAGGATGTACGTTATATGGGTTCATCAGAGGGTACCTTATCTACGAAGTTAAATCTTTTACTTTGTTGCTGCATCAAGCAAAACCCTCCCACTCTTGGCATCATGTTTACCTCCATCCTACCATTTGACTATTATTTCTACTTGATTCTTTCCCAGTAGAATTTGTTCTTTTTGTTTTATATTATGATCGAGTTAACAATTTCTATTTCCTTTTGTATTATTACTACAAATTATTGTGTTCTTTTTTTTCCCTGCAAATTTTTTGGAATTTACTTGCGCTACATTAGCATTAATATGATGCTATGTGTAGGCTTCACCTCCCAACCAAAGGCACCCTCGTCATCTGCGAAAGTCTATAGATTCAGATCAGAAGTTCCTGCTCCACCAACTCATACTGGCGTAGGGGGGAAGGCTTCAATGCTGCCAAAGCGCACGCCAGTCTCGGACAAGGAGATTGAGGCTATTATGGTATGTGAAATTTCATCCCTTAAATCCATAGTGTGAATATGCAAAATGAAACTGAAGTAGTTTGATGCCAGGATTGTGTTTTCTGTGATGTTTTGGGTTCCTCTAGTTGTTCATGGGATGCCTGCCAAATGAAATTCACATTGGTAAATTGCCGATATTTGAAAAGCGATATTGTGGATCTTGTAACAATTTCAGAAAGTACGCCTACCTATGTCTTTTAGTTGTCTCTGCCCAATATATGAAATTTACAATTGGAAATGGCTGGTGTTGAGAAGTTGCACCGTAGCTTCATAGCAATTACAGTAAACTAGATGCTGAGTTTGTCAAAGCGAATATATGAAAATGTAATGATATTACTCTCCGTTATCCGCAATTTGTAGCTCCCCAAGCAAATTTTCCCTTATATTTGAACCGAGTATAAACTGTGGTGGAAGGAGACTCTTACCTCGCCAAAAGGTCAGATGGGTTCTAAGAGGGGCCTGGGCACTCTGGGTCCTATTAGGAAGTTACGCTTTGGTTTTCATTTATAAATCTAGATGATTGATGCCACATCAGTATTGATCTTCTGTCTCAGCATTTATCCCATTGAATCAAGCCCCCAGCTTTCATAAATCAATCTTTTATGCGGTTCCAGTCTTTATTAAGTGCAAACTAAAACCTAAGCCAAATTGTTTCTATCATTTGTCTTACTTTGTGTCTCTATCGCTTGACTTGAGGACCGGGGGTACGTGTTCGAAGCACTTTGATACCACTGTTAGGCAATGCTTTTAAACCTTGTATCTCTGTAAATAATCTTGATGTTTTCTTCATTTGCATGCCCCTTCCTGGTGTTCTTTTGTCCCTTGTGTTATACATGGTTACTAACTATTTTGTTCTTGTTGGCAGTTGGGGGGCTGTTTCTAAATTGAAGATTGTCATCATATCTCCATCCAATAAAGAGAATATGCTTCACACTATGGTGGCAACAGTGTGGCGAAGAACTAGGCCTCCGAATCGAAACATTGTTGAAGGCTTAAACCTTTTTAATCTCATCAAAAACACAAAGTTACTGTTTTGTTTCTGAAACAGTCGCGTCGAGGATGATGTCCTGCTTTCATAGAATGCCAACTTTTTTACTCCATGTTTCTGTCTGCTCATGTGACTTTCTGGTTAATTCTCTCTATACTCGCAGTGAGAATATTTTCAAATTAAAGGGTCAGATGTATTAATACCAAATCTTAGTTAGTCTTATGTAATTTGTCCATGGTGGATAGCATTAAACCAACAGTTCCCATCTATATAAGCTCAAAGAATGAACGTTACAGCTATCATCACACGCACAGGGTAAATACCTGACGACAATGGGAAAGTAATAGCAGATACTTTCTAAGCTACATACCACTAATGACTACGATTTAGGGCTAAACCTATGAATTTTGTGAAGGCCGGCATCCGCTATTAAAGGCTTCGCTCCTAGTTTTTATCCTCCATCCATGGGAAAAAGAATACTAAATCAATCACCAATCAAATAAGCTGCTGGGAGATCCTAATAGAAACCACCTTTTCATCTGCTCCGCTGCTCCTCATCGCCTGAAACTTCACGTTCAGTCCTGCGACAGAATTTCCCGACATCAAGAAAATTAAACAAGCGCAAACTTCGTCACTCTGCGAGACTGTGGAATAATGGTTCTTTACCGTCGTTGGGCTGGAGGTTGGTATTAACAGCAACAGCGTGAAGGCAGAGCGTGGCCTTGGGCTGCCAATCACTGGGCGCGCCCACCCAGGACTTGACATCAAACAACCTCCCACACGAGTTCAAATGCTTGAGGTCAATAATAACCCCAGTAGCAGAGCGGCATGGCTTCGCTATCTTCAGAGATCCAATGTCGTAGTATTTCCAGGCCCCGCTTTTATACCCCTCTTCAAGGAACAGCTCGGCGTGCCTAGCGTCCAGTATCTGCATCGTTCCTGCAGTCATTCGCAAGTTTCTTCAGCACATTCACCCCCTCGACATTTGTAAAATTGCAAACTTGAACGTTTTACCTTCGCAAGAGTTGAGGTTGCAGACTGGGCAGCGAACGAGCTGTAAATCTGACGCGTTATCAAAAAATTTACAGTATTAGTCGCAGTCTGAATTGAAATTATCAAATTGAGTAGAGAAAATTACCAGCGATCCAAATCCCGGTTTTAATGTTGGGTAACAAGCAACAACCATGGTCCTGAATGCACTTCACAGCATCATCCTCAATCCTCGGCAGTGTCTTCGGCAACCCGAGATTCTCCATCAGCAGCGCCACCGGTGAATCGAAGAAGAAAGCCCCGATCCTTATCCAATCTAAACAAATCAACAGAAGCAGGATTAGTTAACCAAACTTAATGGCTAATTTCATCCACATTTAGATTAGTTACTGAACCTATGTGCTTCTCTTGCTGACGGAAGCTGTAGGAGTGAGTGCCATCTGCGGAGACAAACGCGCACGTGTCAGTTGCGAGGGGGTACTGTTTAAGGGTTAGGTTGTTGAAGAGGGTCGTAAAGTTACCGAAAGCGGAGACGTAGAGCTGCTTCCAGCTGAAGGACACGTGGCGGGGGCGTGGGACCTGGAGATCACGAAGGCAGGCGTACTTCCAGATGCTCTGCTCTGTCATCAGCCGGTTGAACCAGCGGTTGGTGGTCCCCAGCCTCACCAGATCTTGTCCCTCCAAATACTTCGCCACCTCAGTCCAAACGTCCTCCTCGTACCTAAAATAAAAATTTTGAAAAAAAAAGCAAAAGGATACATATTACGAAATTAAAATCAGTTATTATCTACGTGCACTCTAACAATTCTTTGCTTTCAACACTGTTATGTTATACTGCTAGCGGTTTTAGGAGGATCAGGGTCAATATCGTAATCTAAACTTTTGAAATATCTTTTGATTTGAATTTGCCGCCATCTAGAGCTAAAATAATTCGAGAGATCACGAAATATTTTTAATTTATAATCGTGAATCTCTAAGTCTTATAAAGGTCTCGAAATCCATGGAAACATTCAGATCTGGACCTAATTAACATAATGAAATCGCCTTATAATTATGAGCTGCGGAATCTAACTAGGTTTAAGAATTTGAATTAAGATCAAATCAGAACTTCAATCAAATGCTTAAGAACTCCACCGATAAACCAACTGCAGTGATAAACTGCTAAATTCTAAATAATCAAAGCAGATCACCTTAATCTTCTACTAAAAAGACAAAAAAAATTCTAGAATCATCTAAAAGAAAACCAAGAGATCACACAAACCTATTCCAGATCTACAGTTCAGATTTAGCCAAAAACATGTCAAATTTCGAAATAAATCATAAATCACAAAAATCGACAAAATAACATTTCGTTTCACACGATCTAAAGCACGGATCGCATAAAAACCTTTCGTTTCACACGATCTAAGCACAGATCGCACAAAAACCTTTCCTCTACTCCAAGAACCAGATCAAAGCAAAATTCTAGAGAAATTCAAACATATTTAGCAAAATAATCTCACTGCTGCTCACCAGCTGAACTCAGAGTGACGAGTGAGGAAAGCAGAGCGCGGGGAGGTGCAAGAAGAGATCGCACGCTTTCGCTTCGTCGATCTCTGCGCCGGCGCGGGATCGTCGGAGCGCGCTTCTGCTGCCGCCGCTTCAAAGAGGAAGAAGAAGAAGGAGAGATCGCCGGCTTCCTCTTGCCCGATCTCAGCTCCATTTTTGCCTCCCCTTCTGCTTCTTCTTCTTCTCTCTTAGTTTTTTTCTCTTCCCTCTCCTGAGCTCGATGGAAGAATGAGAGGCGAGAGAAGGAATGGCCCATTGGAACTCTGTTTCTCAATTTATAGGCGCGGGAGTCGAAAGCATTCGAATTTTTAAAGGACAGTGGGGAAATTACAGTGGCATTTTGGATATTTTAAACAGATCGAGGCCTAGATTGATAATGCTATTTTACCGCTTAGCTTGTAGCGGACGGTTGAGTGAAGTTCGTTGGGTCAGTTAAGGATCTACTTGGGGTCAGGATCGCTTTATAAATTATAATTGTGACGGAACTTAGCTCGTTATTTAACTTGAAGGACTAGTGTATATTTTTCCATTTCTAAATTTTTTTTTAAAAAAATTCTTCGCGTAAATTGTATTAAAATTGTTTGATTATCTAGCTTGACGGCAATTTCAATTTGCATGGGTTGCAGCTTTCGTAGATCGAAATTTGTATCTTTTTCCTGTTTCCATTTTGTTTATTGAGATTAAAATTTGTTGGGAGAAACCTCGATGGGTTTTTGAGTGTCAAATTGGTTAATGTAGAACAAAGGATTTGCAATGGTTATGTTGCTGACAATTATGAGGGAAAAAAAATCCATACATAATATCTTACGCCATTTCTTATAATATTTTGAACTTTTCTTGCAATTATAACCGTAATCACAAATTATAAAACGGAATTGTGGTGGTAACTATTTGTTTCGTGGTAATTAGTCTTGTTGCAACCATAACTGAAAGCAGGCTAGTTACAAATGACTGATGATTAATTTGATAGCAAATCATTTCTGTACAAAGTAACCCCTACGTGAACCTGTGGCTGCAAAAGGATTGCAGTTATATTAAAATAAATAAATAAAAATACAACTGTGAGTTCAACAATTTTTACAAATCATGCTATAGTAACACTTTTACTTAGAAAGTACCAAGCAGTTTGGATTGATACATTAAAACAAACTAAAACAAACAAAGCCAGATATTCATGCAATAGCTTCAAAGAGTTGTCTTGTTTTTGAACCAACACGGTCGATAAGAAATACAAACATTGAGCGAACAACAAAATGATACATAAAATGGTGCTCACACATATCACAGGCCCAAATCAGATCAGCCTTCAGCTATAAATCAAATATAAATTGAGTAGAAAAAATAAGGAGTGTAGTTGTAGCAAAAATCAACAATCATGAACATAAAACATCATGACGAGAATAAAATTTGGCAAACAGCATGAGTTCAATGCCAGCTTAAATCTCAGTATCGCAACAGCTTATCAGCAATTCTGAAACCATTCTTCGAGCGAAAGGGACATAACTCAAGCTGTACCTGCAATAACACAAACACATGAAGTTATGGTGAATGTACAATTGAAAAATCAAGACGTTTAGACAAATAGCCAGATTCAAGCATCTTCCAGGTACATTTACGGATTTCTCACTGGAAAAATATGAACTTTTTAGGTGCTTCTCTTTTTCCTTTCGGCAACTAATGTTTACGTTAAACAAAACTAAGTCCGGCATCAGTAAATTTAACAACCACTGAGCTATATTCCAAGGTTTCACTCTTATCATAATCATTGTAAAAGAAAATCTGCAGAATAACTTATTTCTCTGTGAAAGAGCACATTAGAGAGCTTGAGACACAAACTTTCAACACAAACATCATTTTCTTCTTCTTTGTTCTTTTTAGTTAATAGGTTTCACATTCACAAGCAGGATTTGAATTTCAGACCTCTTGCACGCTGCAAATTCCAAAACTTTCAGAAGAAAATGCATTCTGTATTCTTAATATTAGCATAGCCTACAAAATACTAAAGAAAAGTATATATGTCCCTACTGATATGGTGGACTTGGCACGTGATCAAGACTAAAAAAGGATTTCACAAATTACTCAAGTCAATAGAATTTATGAACCATAAATTCCACAATGCTTGTAACATAAATCTTTCATTTCAGGTGTTGTGCGCAGCGGGGCTCGAGTCACACTAACAAGAACGAGATAAATCACAATCAATAAGCCAAACACAATACCACAGCAAAACAAACGAATTTTACATGGTTCGGCAAGTTGCCTACGTCCACGAGGCAAGGAGGTGTGAGTTCTTACTATTAGAAATCAAGAGAATGCAAATAGAGTTACAAATCTCACCAAATAAACCCTAAAACAAAGTCTCTAGATCTCTCACAACTCTCCCACAATTGGATGCAGCAATCCCCTCTCAAAGACTGCTCAAAACGTCCTTGCTTAACCCTAATTAATTAGGATTAAGATTATATATCAACTCAGAACGAAACGGGTCAGAAAACCAAACTCAACTGCAGACCCGACTCGCGGTCGACCGCAGAACCACGCACGGTCGACCGGATCCAACGATCGAAACTAAAAACCCCTACAGGGTTTGCCCAGTCGACCGTAGAACCCATCGCGGTCGACCGCGAAAAGTCCAAAGACTTTTCTCAGTCGTGTGCACGTTTGCGGTCGACCGTCGCGTCATCCGAGGTCGACCGCGAAACTGCCAGAATGTCTCATGCTGTTTTTCCTACGGTCTTCGTCGATGTGTTCGCCATTTCGTTAATTTTCCACCTCGGCGAACGTTTCTACCAAAACTGAGCCGATACCAAAACATCCAAATGTCCCACTTATTGCGTCCAGGACAAGGTAAAAACAACTCACTTCAACGGACTCAATCCACAACAAGTCGGGAACTCAAACGAGAGCTCAAACAATCTCCCCCATCGAAATCAACAAATCCAACCAGTTGTATCAAACATGACTGTCTACGTATCCTTTTGCCCAAGGAATCAAGCCGAACGTAGTTCACCCAAATGACCTCTAAAAGCCCTCAACACTGAAGAATGTTCAATAGCTTCAAACAATGATTAAATTTCACACCTGAAACAACTTTGGTCAATATATCTGTAGGGTTATCCTTCGTGTGGATCTTCTTTAATATGACATCTCTATCATCCAATACGTCACGAACAAAGTGGAATTTGACATCTATATGCTTTGTGCGTGCATGATAAACCTGATTTTTCGCCAAATAAATAGCCGACATGCTATCACAATATACCCGAAAGGTCTCTTGTGCAATCTCCAAGTCCTTCAATAATCCACGCAATCACAAAGCCTCATTAACAGCTTCAGTCACTGCCACATACTCCGTCTCTGTAATAGAGAGAGACACTGTAGACTGAAGTGTACATCTCTAACAAACCGATGCTCCTGCCAATGTAAACATATATCCTGAAGTAGATTGGTGCTTGTCAAGATCCCCCGCATAGTCTGAATCCACGTAATACAATCCTGCCAATTTTTCTCACTCTTCTGGAAAATCAATCTAACATCCACGGTGCCTTTAACATACTGCAGAATCCACTTCACGACCTCCCAATGACCCTTCCCGGAGTTGTGCATGTACCTCGATACCATGCTTACGACCTGTGATAAATCTGACCTCGTACACACCATCGTATACATCAAGCTACCCACTGCACTGACATATGAATCTTCGACATGTAATCTCTGTCCTCAACTAAAACATGTAACATATTAGCTGAAAGCTTGAAGTGGGGAGCCAATGAAGTGCTAACTGCTTTTGTATTGCCATCAAAGCTGAACTTCTTCAACATCTTCTGCAAATAACTCCTTTGTGTAAGCTTCAATCTCCCCTTCACCCTGTCTCTCTCGATCTCCATACTCAATATCTTCTTTACTTCTCCAAGATCTTTCATCTCAAACTCGGATGATAGCTCCTCTTTCAACTTTCGAATAACCGAAGAATTACTGAAAGCAATAAGCATATCATCAACATATAAAAACAAATATATGTTCTTACCATCCTGTAGCTTGTGCATGTAAACACATGGGTCATATGGGCTCCTCGTGTACCCATGGCCAATCATAAAGCTGTCGAATCTCTTGTACCATTGTCGCGACGATTGCTTCACTATGAAGCACGGACATGGACACGGCGACACAGACACGACACGGACACGACAAAACCCAAAAAAATAGGACACGGCGACACGGCTAAATTTTTTTAATATTATTATTATATTTAGATTAATATTGAATTAAATTCCTATCATGCTTTGGGAATGAGTGAAATTCCACAAAGCAAATCATACGTTCCTGCTAATTCATAGCCTAATATGATCGGTCATGCTTTCAAGACATACACTGCCCAATCAATAGGTTTGCTTTGCCTTTAACACTACTATGTACAATAGAAAATGCCTCTTTTGTCCAGTCACACATACTAACCAACTCAAAGATTTGACTTGTCAACAACCAATATTAAAACCAAAAAGAGGCATTCATAACATTTATTAGTTTGCATTGATCAAAAAAAATTCTAGACGCACAGACTTAATAACAGTTAGTTTTATATTAGTTTACATTGTAGAAAATGGTCTAATAAAAAAAGAGCATGCATATGTGAACAAGTCCAGTCTTAATAACATTTATTCTTTGTATGGGAACTTAAAATATGAGCTGATTCCATTAATACAGCAGAAAAAATGAAGAAGAAAAAAAGAAAACCGAGAAAAAAGGTCAAAAACTCACATTTATTCTTTGTATGGGAACTCAAAACATGAGCTGGATCCATTAATACAGCAGAAAAAATGAAGAAAAAAAAAAGAAAACCAAGAAAAAAGGTCACGCACGCATTTATTCTTTGCATGGGAACTCAAAATATGAACTGGCTCCATTAATGGAGCAGAAACAATGAAGAAATAAAAAGAAAACAAAAAAGAACCGATGCCTCTGAGAGAGAGAGAAACCAGGGGAAGAGGAGATGTGAGAGAGAGAAGAGAGGGAGAGAGAAAAGCAGCCGAAAAAAAAGAAAACAAAAAAAGGTCAAAAAACTTACAAACAGCCGATGCCTCTGGGTGGTCGCCGACTCGCCGCCTCTGGGTGGTCTCCGATTCGCCGCCGCGGTTGAGATGGGGGAAACAACCGATGCCCTAGGATGAGAGAAGAGAGGGAGAGAGAGAAGCAGCCGCCACTCGCCGGATGAGAGAAAAGAGAGGTATCGGTCTTTGCTTTTAGGTTTTATTTCGAAACGGGTTCACAAACAGTGGGTTTTCAAACCCAATAACTGCTTCGTAACCCTCAGTCGGCGTGTCGAGAAAGAATCAGAAAAAATGGCGTGTCGACGGCGTGTTGACGGCGTGTCGACGGCGTTCACCGTGTCGAGGGTGTTGACCACGTGTCCGACGCGTGTCGAACGCGTGTCGAACGCGTGTCGAACGCGTGTCGAACGCGTGTCGAACGCGTCCGACACGCGTCGGAGACGGACTCGGTGGCAAATTTGGAGAGTCGGTGCTTCATAGTTGCTTCAATCCATAAAGAGACTTCTTCAGCTTGTACACCAAATCTTCTTTTCCTGTAGCTTTGAATCCCAAGGGTTGCGTCATGTATATCTCCTCATCTAAATCTCCAAGTAGAAAGGTTGTCTCACATCCATCTGGACCAAATCCAAATCCAACTGTGCCACTAATGCCAATAAAATCTGAATCGACGAATGCTTTACAACGGGTGAAAATACCTCGTTGTAATCAACGCCCTTAAGCTGTGCATATCCCTTGACAATCAATTTGGCTTTGTACCTTATGTCCATAATAGAAGATCTCTCGTTCTTCGTATATACACACTTGCAACTAATAGCTTTCTTCCCCTTAGATAGCCTTGCAAGTTCCCAAGTATCGTTCTTCTGAAGAGACCACATCTCCTCATCCATAGCTTCCCTCCACCTGATCGAACCGGGGCTAAACTCTGTCTCCCTGAATGTGGATGAAATCATATCATCAACGACCTCCACTGATAATGCATATGCGATCATGATATTATTATACCTAGCTAGCCGACGAATCACCCTTCTAGGTCTATTCGCTGTAATAGACTCATGAACATGACCCTGCTCCTAAGTCTCACAATCCACTGTATCATCTATCTGTCCGGCTGTCATCTCATCTCCTTCCAGTGTCATCTCTATAGGAGCCTCAATGAATACAATGTTATCTGGAGTGGGCGGAGTCACATCATCCTCCACCTGCTGTGATATCTCTCGAATCTGGTCATGTGGATCCCATAACTTGAAGCTTTTAACTCATTCTCTAAATCCCACAAATACTGTTTTCCTCGCCCTCGGATTCAATTTATCATCACTAACATAGTAATAAGTAGGACACCCAAATATCCGAAGCGACTTATAATCACTAGTTACCGAACCAGACCAATGCTCCAAAGGAATCTTCCCCTGTATCACAATGCACGACAACCTATTCACGAGATGGCTCGCATAAACCAACGCCTCGGTCCAAAAAGATCTAGATAATCTACTCTGCATCTTCATACATCACATATTCTCTAGCAATGTACGGTTCAATCTTTTAACCACCCCGTTCTGTTACGGTGTCTCTCGAACTGTGAAGTGTCGTCTAATACCGTGATCCCGGTAAAACTGCAGAAACGGATCACTCTTATACTCTCAATCGTTATCTGAACGTAGAGTCTTCACCTTTCTACTTGTCTGCAGCTCTGCTTTCTTCTTTCACTCTACAAAAATATCCAGGACCTCGTGTTTATACTTCATAGGGTATTATACCCAATTCCTCCTGGAATAGTCATCAATGAAAGTGATAAAATAGTTGGTCCCACCAAGTGATGTGTTCTTGGAAGGGCCATAAACATCTGTGTGAACATAATCCAACATACCTTGGGTGTTGTGAATAGCGGTACCAAACTTCACTCTTGTCTTCTTCTCACGTACACAATGCTCACACAGCTCCATCTTACAGGTCTTAGCACCTTTCAATAGCCTCTGTTTTACCAATGACTATAAAAAATTATCACATGTGTGTCCTAATCTTATGTGTCATAGGGTGATAGTGTCCTCCTCTGTAGTGATAGAAGCTATCAGACCCTCTATAACTGTATTGCTCTTCAAGTAGTATGGTTGTTTTTGCTGACACCTCGCATCACCACCATAGAACCCTTCGTAACCTTCGCTGTAGCATTCTCTAAGGTCACCCAATAACCTGTTGCTTCTAAAATACCAAGAGAAATGATGTTCTTCGTCAACTGCGGCACGAACCTCATTTCTTTCAACTCTCTCACCACACCATCATGCATCCTGATCCGGACTGAACCAATACCACCAATAGGACATACGTGGTCATTTCCCATAAGTACGATATCCCCTTTTTCCAGCTCCTCAAAACTAGAGAACCAATCCTTCCTAGGGCAAATATGATATGTGGCTCATGAATCTAACATCCACTCTGTAGAGTCGGCATAGCAAACCGACAGTAGTGCAGGACACGAATAGTCCGAAAAATCTGAATCTGAATGTTCGCTAACACATTTTGCAACATTCGCTTCTGAAGCTTGTACAGTTTTTCCCTTGTTTTTCCCGGCTTTATCCTTCCACTTTGGGCAGTCAATCTTTTAATGTTATTCTTCTTTATAATACAGACATTAATTTCTACTAACACTCTTATAGGCACCTCTGTTCTTCGATTTTGAGGGGTTGACTTGACGGCGGTTTAGACTACGGCCTCGAACTGCTAATGCATCTCCCGATGCCTTCTCGGAAGGTTCTCCATCACTCTTTTTTAACTCATAATTCACCAAAGCTGAGATCACCTCCTTATAGCTAACAGTAATTCTTCTGTTGATCATAGTGAGAATGAACGTACCATAATCATCCTCAGGCAACAAACACAAAAGTAGCATCGTCTTGTCTTCATCATCAACCATGATGTCCACATTGGTCATATCTGAAAGTAGCTTCGTGAAATTGTTTACATGCTCCCTAATGGAAACTCTTATTTTCATCTTGAACTGGTAAAACATCTTCTTTAAGTGAAGTCGATTCTCAATGCTCTTCGTAAGATACTTCTCATTGAGCGTTTCCCACAATTTCTTCGTCGATGTCTCGTTCATCACGTCATAAATAAGATCCGGCGTCAAGCATGACCGAATAACTTCACAAGCTCTACTATTTATCTTTTTCCAAACCTTGTCCTCCATGTCAGCGGGTTTCTCTTGTAACTCAAGAGTCTCCTTCAAATTCTATGCATCCAATGCATCCATCACCTGGCACCTCCATAAACCGAAATTTATCTTGTCGTCAAACTTCGGAACATCAATATTGGTGTTATTGATGTTCAGACTCTGTATCGCCTTCGTAAGAGACGAACCTGATGTGTTTGCTTCTCCCATGTTGTCGATCTAACTCTTCAAATAGAATCATTCACCGAATCCTTCGAACAAGCCTCAAGCCAAACCTGAAGTTCTGATACCACTTGTTGTGCACAGCGGGGCTCGAGTCACGCGAACAAGAACGAGATAAATCACAATCAATAAGCCAAACACGATATCACAGCAAGACAAACAAATTTTACGTGGTTCGGCAAGTTGCCTACGTCCACGGGGTAAGGAGGTGGGAGTTTTTACTATTAAAAATCAAGAGAATACAAATAAAGTTACAAATCTCACCAAATAAATCCTAAAACAAAGCCTCTAGATCTCTCACAACTCTCCCACAATTGGATGCAGCAATCCCCTCTCAAAGACTGCTCAAAACGTCTTTACTTAACCCTAATTAATTAGTATTAAGATTATATATCAACTCAGAATGAAACTGGTCAGAAAACCAAACTCAACTGCAGACCGACTCGCGGTCGACCGCAGAACCACGCGCGGTCGACTAGATCCAACGACCGAGACTAAAAATCCCTGCAGGGTTTGTCCGGACGACCGCAGAACCCATGCGGTCGACCGCGAAAAGTCCAGAGACTTTTCTCAATCGTGTGCATGTTTACGGTCAACCGCCGTGTCATCCGAGGTCGACCGCGAAATTGCCTGAATGTCTCCTGCGGTCTTCATCGCTGTGCTTACCATTTCTTCATCAGGTACCAGCATTCTTCATTAACTTAGGTTAGACTGCTACCTAAATAAAATAATTCTATTACACAAGATAAGCAAGGGTTATGCTTTTCTGATATCGGCACTTTTACTATAAGATCCACCAAGTCCTCAGATCGAAAAGCAGACTGCAATATGCTAGTAATTCCACCTTGTACAGGAGTTGAAGTAGGATGGCATTAGGTTCGACTCAACTGAAACACATAATTGCACCCGAACTCTTGGGCATTTTAGGCAGTTTTACAAGAGTTTGGGGAGGTTAATAACCCTTGAGCTAACTTTATTTGCCAAACACGACTGGAAATATGGTAAATACGACATGCCAAAGCACCTGATATTTCCTTATAAGATTTCAAAGTGAAAAATGCCTTAGTTTGCAGTTGGTAGTCATGGACATCTTTACTTTCTGATGTCCTCGAAGTTAAAAATGGAAGCATCCCCTAGAAGACTTCATATTTTCTTCAATTAGGAGGGTTTTTTTTTCTGATTTTCCAAGTATTTTATCAGCAACAAAGATGATATACTATATCAAAATTTGTATATGAAGTCCTGAACTTCTGAGCACATAAATCTAAATTGATCCATAACTAAAGCAACATTACCTATTTGCAAAAGGCATTTGCAATTAATACTTCTCAGAAACGGAGCTTGCTACAGATGTTTGTTTCATGTATTTAAAGATCTATCATGAATATAACACACATAACTAACTTCCGCTGTGTGTGCCACCTCGTGGAAAATCTATAATTACTTTCTGAGATGCCAACCATGAAAATGCAGGCAATATAGATAACCTCCTTACTATTTTAATTTGAGATGCAGATCGCAGAATATGACCTGAGTGGGCTAATAAAAATGGAAGGTTTTCAAGTTTAGATGCAGTGGTAAAAATAAAAACATGTTCTTCACTGCAATACAAACCGTAAGCGCCTACTATTTTACTAAGAACTTGTTTCAAAAACCCACGAACAGCTGTCACAACTAAATTGAATAGGTTTGGAGAAGTGTGGTGGTAGAACCAGTATGCTAGATGTGTGTGTAAATATGTGTAAAACAGTAAACTATGAATATAAGGAAATATAATTAGATACGTAAATACACCAGAGTTAGATGGTTTGTTCTAACTTCTTTCTTAACATGTGAAGGATTAAAAATTTACAAGCATTGGCGAATAGTGATATTATCAGGGTTTGACATCTGATGATTTAATGGATCAGCAGGTAGCTCTCACATGCCATTATTGGTTCCACATCTTGAATATATTAAGATTATTTTCCTGTTTTCCCAATCTTGGTGAAATATCATTTTTGAGGAGGAATTTCCAAGTATGTTAAATTATCACATGATCCCCCACTTCCTCCTCTCTAATTGTCATGCTTCTTTAAATTAGTAAAAGGGGTCTAGCCTCATCTGCATACTGTTCCCTGACATTTTCTTTATAAAAGGGTTGTTTAAATTCCCTGCAATAGAAAGGGGGAAAAACAATATGCATATTAGGGAGAGGGAGAGGGAGAGGAGAATTTTTTTTTTGGGGAAGAACAGAAGACACAATTTATAGAGGCGGCGAGGGAGAGGAGAGCGAGGGAGAGAGAAAAAGTTACCATATAAGGGCGCAAATCTCGCTTATAATAGCAATGAGTGTCAAAACCTTGTTGTGAATCTGTTAGAAAAATAATAAGATCAAGAAAACAACAAATGGATGTTAGAAAAAATGATCCTGAACAATAAAAAGAGGATATATTTTATTTCAGTAATTTGGTGGAATGTGCCTTACCCAAAGAGCACAGATGAGGGCAAGAACAACACTACCAACATATATAGCAGAAGCATAAAAGCGGACTGGATCAAGCATCATCCTCGTTTGTTGCACTGGCCCAATGAGGAAGGCTGTGCTGCCATGAAAATTTCAAGTTACCATTTCAGATGGTTTTGCAATATTTAAAAATTATTAAACTGTCAGTCTTAGAAGATTATATTCTTGATTGTGGTGGTATTTGATAATTGGTATACAGGTGAATCCAAGTGGAACAGAAGTCGTAGACAGGATTTCAACCTGTGACTGCTCACAACCTTTTCACAACTGGGCAAGGCCTCAGTGGCATCATTTTTGTTAAGAGTAAATTACATATAACCACCTTATCTATACCTTCAGTCGCAGCCCCCAATTCATGAGAAGATTGCACATAAACCCGCGCAGATCAATTATTAGCACTTGGTCCCCCTCAATTCATGAGCAAGAGGGATGTTACTTGCAATTTTATCTATCTAAAATGGCATTTCAGGGAGTCTACGTGCTAATAAATAAATTGAGGTATTGTCCCAAATAACTAAATAAGTTGAGGGGGGTTTACTGCAAATCAATGTTTTTTTTTTGGCTTTTTGGGGGTTG